TCAAATACAAACTTACATGTCACTCTGCATCTTTTATAATTTTCTGTGTTGTTTTTCTGCCTTTGTTTATCTCTGCCCATATTTGTTTTGCCTGGCTCTTTTCTCTCTGCTTATTTATCTCCTTTTTCCATTCCTGCCTCCTTTTTTAACTAGTCATTTCTTTTTAACTAGGCATTCCTAATGGAGAACTCATTATTTCTCCTCCCTAATTTTTTTCCTATCCTGTATTACCTGTTTGAGGTACATCATAGAGATATCCAGATCAGAAATCCAGGCGTCTTCAGAGACTTACACTGCTTTCTCACACAATGCTTAGCTCTGGTCACTAAGCCATATTTATTCTGCATCCTAAATAATATACAAATCTGAAATATCCTCTCCATCACCACTGTCCATTGTTTAGACAATTACAATACTCTCCTCATTCATCTTTCTGTCTCCTTTCCATTGGGTAACCAGTGAAATCTAATCCATACTCATCCCCTCCGACCACAGTCATCTCTTTAAAACATGTATAAGCGTAATTCTCTTCCATATTTAAAATCTTCCAGTGATTTTTAAATCAGGACATTCTTTATCAGTGAATATGATACCTATACTTGATCTGAGTCTACCCTTCAATCTACATTCCACACCATTAGCTTCAACCCCTCATCTCCACTCTCCCCAACCGTAAGTAAACCTCTATATGCCAGGACTCTGAAGTCAGTTTCCTCTTTTGCATCTCCATCTCTTTGCATATGCATATTCCCCCTGTGTTATAATGTTATCATTACACTTTAATATACTAATAATACATAAGTCATCACAACGTATTATAATTATGCAACCTCTTAAGTTCAATAGGACTTTCAATTTGAGTTTAGGCTGTGCCCCTGTGGGAATTCAGACTTTAGATGGTAAAACAGGTTGAGAGAAGCCTATTTGCAAGAAAGAGGCCAGGAATCTCCTGGGAAACAACTGAAGTTATGCCACTGCTAAGTCTGATACATAGCTGGAAATGTCTCATAAACTCGAGGATAGACTGATAAGGTATCTATTTGAAAGGGAAGTCCTTAGACACATCCTAAAATCAGATGGACACTATGCAAAAACTTAAACAAGTTCACTAAGAACACTGTGAATCAAAGAAGCACAGCCATACTTTTTAATACTCTGAAAGAGAGCTAATCAAATGGGAGAGACTATGCCTCCCCAACTTTTCCTCTGATCTGAGGTGACCTTCGGCCTGGTCAAGGCAGGGGAACCATTGTACCACCAAGCAGCACTCTAGCCTGCACTGTAGGACACCACTGCCTGCCAACCCCATGACACCTGCCATAGTTCCTAAGAAGCAGTAGTAACACCTGGCAGAGTCATGAACCTGACAGAACAGTGGTGACTCTGGCAGAAAATGCAGTTTCAGCAGGGCCCTGGGTGTGTCAACTTATTGCACCATGTATAAGACATGTCCCGGGAATTTCTAAATATGCCTGAAGGAAAGGTATTTGTCATTCAAATAGAGACACAACTGAGAGTGCAGGGGGTTGTTATAAATAACCAAATTTAAATAATTTTAAACTTTTCTTAATTGACTAATAAGTTGATTTTGTCATAGAGTTGTTCTTATAAAACAGATCCATCAAAAAATATTTCAAAATTTTTCTTAAAAAGCATACATTCATCAAGGTATACTGAAGTAAAGAAAAAGTATTACTTTATTTTTATTATCTGAACATGAAAAAATGATGTAAGTGGAGCAATCAGCCTTTGAATATATTCACAATCTTTTAATCAGCTTTTCAACTGTATCTGTTTCTAATACTGTCAATGGTATTTTACAGAAGAATGTATATATTTTTAAAGAGCTTCATATATAAAATTATTTGTAATCATCTTAAAATTATATTTTGTGATTAGCAAACTTCAAATAGTTGAGGCTTAAAATTGTTTCTATATATTTTTATTTTTATTTATTGATACATAACAGGTGTACAGAAACCTAAAATTGACTCTTTTCTATAGACAATATTTTAACTGACCAGAGATATACTCTCAGTAGACACTGAAGTACCAAGAAAACTCACAGAAAAAAGTTTCCTAGATACAGAATATTCTCAATTCCGATTTTGTTGTTTCAATATTTAAATATTTTACCCCAACCAATGCTACTGTCTTTTTGTCTCCATTGAGCCTCTTTCTTCTAAAATATTTGTTAAGAAAAGCTTTTCTCTATGAGTCTTACAAAATTCATTAGTTATGTATAATGCAAAATCATAGGCTTTCTCCCTTTTACCTCATTCCCATAAAGAATGTAAATTTATCTAATTAAACATTATAACTCCATCAAAATTTCTTCCCAGAAATCAAGACAGTCCAAAGTATAATTATAAAATTTCAGAATTAAATTATGTGTACTATTTAAGCACTTGTTTAATTTGAATTAGTTTTTTCCTTGCTTATGTAGAATAAATTTAATCTTCCTGCTTGGGGGAAAAAAAAAAAAAAAAAAAAAAAAAAAACTCTACAGGCCAGGAGACAACTGGTTAATATATCAAGTGCCAAATATTATTCTGACCACCATCTCTAAGATAAAATAGCCACTTCTGTCCACATACACGTGGTGTTCTCACTCTTCACACTGTCCTTGAAAGAGAGATATTACACTGAGCCTGGAAAGGGCTGGGAAAAGAGAATTATCATCGTTCATGCTTTCAGATATAAATGCACATTAAAATGAGAATTCTGTTATTGTATGTGAATATCACGCATCACTAGAAAAGATCAAGGCAGAAAGTGGGTATATCAAGAGGATGTCTACCAAATTCATACACTTATATTCTAATGCAAAGATAAATAATAATATGTTTTTTTTTTAAAAAAAAAGAAAAAGAAAACAGAAATCTGGGACAGATGCAAACAAGACAAGACACCAGTATAACAAACATAAATTTTGGCTACATTTTTCATTAACCATAATAGTAATCCTACTCAGAGAAGAATTTTCAGAAAGCTGATGTCCTAATTTAGCAAGTGAGTAAAAAAAACAAAGCCAGACATTTTTGAAATATTGTTTTCTAACTTTATCTGTGACTCCTAAGATCAGGAACAGCTTGAATTGAACAGTGTATTAATGAAACATTTTCTAGTTATGTCTGAAAAATAAGCACTAAATTAAGTTAATGTGCATTTTTTTAAAATTCCCCTGAAAGATAACAGCTCTCCAAAGAAGCAAATTTTCTAATCCAGCATTTGCAGAATAGTTATATAATGCCTGGGGTGCTGTTGAAAATTTCCTAATACTGTAGTAATCAGGATCTGCACAAATCCTCCTCTTCCTGAGGATGAATATAAACCAAATCATTTTCTACCCACCCAGAAGAAAAAAATATAAATCTAGTACAGAGAGACAAATCTATTGCTCTAGAATCAGCAGTTTTGGGGCTGGTGCTCTTGTCCTAACCCTCTTGCTTCTCTTGGCTTTGGTAATTCTCTTGAACTTGGATTATGCAAACAAGGACTTTGATGCATAGAGTTCTCATGAACTCCTACCAGCCTGTCAATAGGCAGTTATTTCCCTAAAAATAGTCATGTTCTTCCCAAGATATTTAACAACTTACTTATCTTGAAAGGTTTCCTTGCAAGATGAGAGAATCTGCTAGGTGCTCTTCCTTCATCAAACTCCCCTTCAGCCTCTTCTGCAGACTCTGGACCACAGGTAGCCATATCCTCAACTGGTATCTACATCATCTCCACAACTAGGCTATAAACTCTTATAGATAGTTCCAATGTTTTCTACTTTGTCATCTCTTCTGTCACACAATCCTTTCTGCTTAAACAAAGTGAGCACTCAATAAATTCTCTTGAGTGCAGTTAATCATTTGAAGAATCTTGATGAGGAACTGAAGCTTAATCTCACTTTAAAAGAAGAAATGAAAATAATTTGGTGGTATATTTTTTATCTCAAGTTACAGGGAAATAATACCACAAAATAAAAACAAAGTAAAATACAGGAAAGAAGGAAGGACGAAAAGACTACAAAACAACTGGAAAACAACAAAAGGGCAGTAGTAAATCCTTACTTAAAAAAATCATATTGAATGTAAATGAACTAAACTCTCCAATCAAAAGATACAGAGTGGCTGAATGGATTAAAAAACAAGACCCAACAATATGTTGCCTATAAGAAACACACATCACCTATAAACACACATATACCAGGCACGGTGGCTCATGCCTGTAATCCCAGCACTTTGGGAGGTCAAAGCATGTGGATCACAAGGTCAAGAGATTGAGGCCATCCTGGCCAATGTGGTGAAACCCCGTCTATACTAAAAAATATAAAAATTAGCGGGGTGTGGTGGCACATGCCTGTAGTCCCAGCTACTCAGGAGGCTGAAGCAGGAGAATTGCTTGAACCTTGGAGGCAGAGGTTGCAGTGAGCCGAGATCACACCACTGCCCTCCAGCCTAGAGCCTGGCAACAGAGCGAGACTCTGTCTCAAAAAATAAATATACTGAAAATAAAAGGATGGAAAAAGATATTCCCAATGTAAACCAAAAAAGAGCAGGAGTAGCTATACTTATATAAGACAAAATAGATTTCAAGACAAAAAGTATAAAAAGAGACAAAGAGAGTTATTACACAATGATAAAGCGGTCAATTCAGCAAGAGGATATAACAAGGAATTAGTAACTAGAACATATAATAAGCTCAAAAAACTTCATAGGAAAAATATAATAAACAATTTTTTAGATATGATAGAACTTTCTCGAAAGAAGACATACAAAAGGGATACATGTAAATGAAAAGATGCTCAAAATCACTGATCATCAGAGATATGCAAATCAAAACCAGATGAGATATCTTCTTACCCAGGTAAAATGGCTTTTATCCAAAAGCAATTACAAGTGCTGGCAAGAATGTGGAGAAAAAGGAACCCTCATACATTGTTGGTGGGAATATAAATTAGTAAGCCACTATGGTGAGAAGTACAGAGATTCTTTAAAAAACTAAGACTAGTTCTCACCTCAGCAGCACATATACTAAAATTGGAACGATACAGAGAAGATTAGCATGACCCCTGCACAAGGATGACATGCAAATTCGTGACACATTCCATATTTTTAAAAAATAAAATAAAATAAAATAAAACTAAAGCTATCATATGATCCAGCAATCTCAGTACTGGATATATATACCCATAAGAAAGGAAATCAATTATTTGTACTCTCATACTTATTGCAGCACTATTCACAATAGCCAAGATTTGGAAGCAACCTAAGTGTCCATCAACAGATGAATGGATAAAGAAAATGTGGTTCATTCTATTAGTCTGTTCTTTTTTTTTTTTTTTTTTGAGACAGAGTTTCACTCTTGTTACCCAGGCTGGAGTGCAATGGCGCAATCTCGGCTCACCGCAACCTCCACCTCCTAGGTTCAGGCAATTCTCCTGCCTCAGCCTCCTGAGCAGCTGGGATTACAGGCACGCGCCACCATGCCCAGCTAATTTTTTGTATTTTTAGTAGAGACGGGATTTCACCATGTTGACCAGGATGGTCTCGATCTCTTGACCTCGTGATCCACCCGCCTCGGCCGATCTCTTGACCTCGTGATCCACCCGCCTTGGCCTCCCAAAGTAGTCTGTTCTAATGCTGCTGATAAAGACAGACTTGAGACAGGGTAATTTATAAAGAAGAAGAGGTTTAACGGACTCATAGTTCCACGTGGCTGGAGAGGACTCACAATCATGGTAGAAGGTGAAAGGCACATCTTACATGCTGGCAGGAAAGACAGAATGAAAGCAAGTGAAAGGGAAAACCCCTTATAAAAGCCATCAGATCTCATAAGACTTATTCACTACCATGAGAAGAGTATGGTAAAAACTGTCTCCAAGATTCAATTATCTCCCAGCAGGTCCTTCCCACAACACATGGGAATTATGGAAGCTACAACTGAAGATGAGATTTGGGTAGAGACACAGTCAAACCATATCATGTATATACACAATGGAGTACTACTGAACCATAAAAAGAATGAGATCCTGTTATTTGCAACATGGACACAACTGGAGGTCATAATGTTAAGTGAAATAAGGCAGGTACAGAAAGACAACCGTCATGTTTTCACTCATTTGTGGAGACTAATTAAAACGATTGAACTCATGTAGATAGTGAACTGATGGGTACCAGAGTCTGAGAAGGGTAGCAAGAGAGGGGGTAAAAGTGGAGATGGTTAATAGATGCAAAATATAGTTAGAGAGAATAAATGGAACCTAATATTTCATAGCACAATGGATGACTATGGTCAAAAATAATTTATTGTATATTTTAAAGTAACTAAAAGAGTATAATTGGAATGTTTGTAACACAAAGAAATGATGAATGCTTGAGGCAATGGATACCCCATTTATCCTGATATGATTATTATGCATTGCATGCCTGCATCAAAATATCTCATGTACCCCATAAATATATACACCTACTATGTACCCATGAAAATCAAAGATAAAAATTTTAAAAATAAATAAAATAACATGAAGAATAATAAAGGTTTTTCTAATCCAAAATAAGTCAAATTAAAATAGCTTTGTGCATTTCTAGATAAAAAGAAAAAGATCTGCTTTTGGCAGAAAGTCTAGATTAAGAAGTTCCAGTGAAAAAGACTACAATCTCTTCAAAAATGTTTTCTTTCTTATGTTACTGGAACTTATCTATTTTATTTCCAAATTAGACTTCATTTAATTAATTTATTTGTTTTAATTTGTAATTTTTGTTGTTACATGTATTTATAGGGTAAATAAGATATTTTGATACAGGCATAGATGCATAATAATCACATCAGGGTAAAGGGGGTATCCAACATGCATCTATGTTCACTCACATTCCTGAGGCTCTACCATCATCAGGTGGTAAGGTCAGCCAGGCTAGTGTTCTTCCCAATCAAGCAGAAAGTTCCCCAGTCCTGGATGGATCCAGAGACACCAACTGGGAGCCAGGGCCTGGAGTCAGAAACCTTAAGAAACTACCTGGTGCTCTATTCTACTGCAGCTGTGCTAACACTCAAGCCATAAGACAAAGTCTTTCCCACTCTTCCCTCCTCTTTCCACAAGAGGTGAATCCCCATGGCCACTACCACTTCAGGCTCTCAGCAAGTACTGCCTAATTACTGCCAATGTTCATTCAAACCCCAAGGGCTCTTCAGTCAGCTTGTGGTAAATGCTTCCTGGCCTGGAACTCTCCTTGCAAGGTAGTGGGCTCCCCGCTGGCTCAGGGCAGGTCCAATAATGCTGCGCAAGAGCCAAGGCCTGAAATCAGAGATCCCAAGAGCCCCCTTGGTGTTCTACCCCACTGTGGCCAAGCTGGTACCTAAGCTGCAAGACGAAATCCCCTTTATTCTTCCTTCTCATTTTCTCAAAAAGAAGAAGTCCCTCCCTGTAGGCATCACAGCTGAGAACGTGCAGTGTCACACCTGAAGCCAACATCTCTGAGTCTCACCCAAGGCCAAGGCAAGTATTGCCTGGGCACCATGGCTAATTCTTCAGGGCCAAAGGGCTCTTTAGTAAGCAACTGGTGAATCCTACTAGGACGGGGTCCCTCCCTTCAAGGTGGCGGGTTTTCTTCTGGCCCTGGGTATGTCCAGAGTGTCACTTGGGAGCTAGGGCCTAGAATGGGGGCCTCAGGACTCTGCCTGTTACTCTATCCTACTGTAGCTGAGCTTGTATCCCAGCTGCAAGACAAAGTCCTCTTTATTCTTTTCTCTCCCCTCCTCAAACAGAGAGGAAGAGTGTATCCTGGAGCTGAGAGCTGTGCCACCTGAAGTTGGAGGAAGGGTGGTGCAAGCACTCCCTTGGCCACTCCAGCTGGCATCTCACTAGATCCTGTGCCCTCCAAGTCCACCGACTCCAAGCCCAGCACAGCCCCAAGACTTGTCCAAGAATTGTAGTACCTGTGGCCTAGACTGCCTTTCAAGTTTATTTAGAACCCTAGAGCACTTTATCCCACAGTGGCAAGGCTAGACAGAACTCACGTTCTTATAATTGTCCTCTGTCTCTAGGGCTGGTCTAAATGCTGCCTCCCCCAGTTGAGCTCTGTCTAGTGCTGCTTTCCACTATGACAGGGCAGCACTAAATTCCAGTGCAAAGTCCCATCATCACTTGGCTCTTCCTCCCTCAAGCACACAGATTCCTTCTGTGCTCTATGTGGCCATTACCAGAGGATAGGGAAAGGATGGCATCAGCAATTCAAAACTGTCTTTCTTATCCCCTTCAGTGCCTCCTTCTGTGATACGAAGTTAAAACCAGGTACTGTAATCCTTCACCTAATTTTTTGTTCTGATGAGGGTGCTTTTTTGTGCAGATAGTTGTTCAATTGGTGTTTCTTCAGGGAGAATGATCTGTGGAGGCTTTTATTTGGCCATCTGCTCTGCCTTTGGATCAGGTAATCACACCTCATTTAATTTAAAAGTAACATTCCACTTTAAAAATATTTTCACATCATGAATTATATTTCAAAACTATATTCTTTATTTAATTCTGCTACATCCTTATAGAAAATTAATATAAATATAATTAGGATGTAAATGGAGACCTCGCACACATATATATCATAAGATGACTGCCTTGATCAACTATTGAAATACTAAAACATAGTCAAATGCAATTCTGTTGGAGATATTCTTTACTCTGGTAGAAATATACTACTATTCCAGAACAATAGAATTCCATATCTGAATTCTGGTATTGATATGAGATACTAAGTAAATTTACCCAGAAAGGGTAAACATCATCATGAGCCTGGAAAATACAATATACCTACCACAATTTATTTGTACTGATTACTTGTAAGCCTACTCTCAAGTTCTAAACTTCTCATGCCTGCTTATTGTCAAATACAACTGCTAAGAAAGTTTGCACTGTGAGCATTTCTTGCTAGGAAAGTTCTCCTCTGGTTAAAAAACAATCAGTATAATCACAGCTTCAGATAGTGTTCATATCTTAGAGACCCTTAGGTGTTAATTTTCTCAATTTGTTCACCCATTCATTTAAATATATTTAGTTGAAGTAAACAAATATGACTTAATCTGAGATTTGGCACTTGGGCTATTTATAAACTAGTTTGATGAAAAGTAGATTTAAGTAGATATTAACATAAAGTGTAAGGTAGTAATTATAAATTTAACACTTTCAGCAATGATAACCAACCTATGATTAGATTATATTTTATTTAACTATTATCAAAGCAGCAAATCACTCTTCAAATTTTTATTATTACTACAGTCTAATTTAAGAAATTAGTCTCCATAGAATCAAAATCGTACTAGCTGAGCAAAAGATTTCTATAATGCTCTATATTATGGTTACAATTCAGTGAGTTCAATGTAAGTAGTGCTTTGCCAGAACTGATACCACTGTGCTTCTTCATAATTTCAGAAACTCAGGTAAGCTATCATTATAATTTTGGGGTTTTTCTGCTTTGATGTTTCAGCAAAAAAAAAAAAATCACTCAAAGTTTAGGAATTAAGATTAATAGATACATCATAAACATTGATAATAAAAGTTCAAATGAGTAATAGTATCAAAAACCAAGCTAAATTTAAACATTTACCTTATTATTTAATTATTTAAAGTAAATAATATACAGTTGCAATTTCTTTACTGAGAAAAATGAAACCATATAGATAGAACTATGTTTCCTCTTACTATCACTCAAACCTAGTACTCATCCCATACCCATGAGATTTAACAACAGGTAGAGTATGGATCACTGCAGCACCTTCACTAATCATTGCCACATGTCTATAATAGTGAAAAAATAAAAACATTGCTTCTAAACTTAAGAACTAAAAATCAAAATATGTAATACTTATCCTGGGCATACTCTATAGCAAAGGCATTGAATGAGAAAAATTTATGTTAATATGATGGAAAACATCCATAAGACCAATTGTAAAAATTTAAAAGTCAGTTGCACAATAGGTACTGTAATAGGCTGAATAATGGTCCTAAATATAAATATTCCTAATCCCTGAAACCTGTAAATATTACCTTATTTGAAAGGAGTTTTGGCGTATGTGCTTAATTAAGTATCTAGAGATGGAGAGATTATCCTGGGTTGTCTGCGTAGGGCC